TCCAATTTTATCAAAAGATTCGAGTCGGTCGTCAAATTCTTTGGGAAAACATCTGTGGCGATTAATCATTAACACAAACAATATCAATATTTAAAGAGATTAACATGTGCACATGATAAAATATTCTTACGCATTTTTGACTCAATATAAGCTTGTGTATTGTAATTTGTCCAGAGACCGTGACTGAAACCAAGTCCAATCAAATTTAAATTTGAATTAGCTATTGTTTTTCTGACTTTTCTAGAATACGTTAAACGATAATCCTATTTTTTAATAACAATAATTATTAACATATTTCCAATTTGCAAATTTATCTATCTCCTTGCTCAAGCACACATACAAGATCTCCTGATAAAAAATATTGGTTCATATATTCGAGTGATTTGACAAATGGTGTCTCGTTTTCATTTTTAGGAACTGAACCATAAAGCCATGGATCATATCCTATTTATTTATTGTAATATAGATATTATCAAAATAGCAAATACAGTATAATCAAGATTCCCAATTTTATGAAAAAATTTACCTGCATCAAATGCATTCACGGATACGAAATGACCTGGAGAGGTTGGTTTATCGATGTGTATACTAAGTATAATACTATTACCATTAGGAAACAAATTTATTTCTTTCGGTAAAAACTTGTAAGTATTATCAGTATTATCTGAGTGTATAACATAGTCGTTACAACCTCCTTATTTGAAGCATTTTGAGTCAGATATGTTGAAATAAAACAATCCATTATGAAAGTAATTAAAATATTTCTTACGCATATTGATGATGGCACAATCGATTCTATGTATTTGATCATGGGTGAAATGGATGTCTGCAATGATCCGTGGTTTTGATATTAGAAAACATGTCATTGGATTTTTAGGCGAATAATTATTTTACCTGGAACAGGTAGACTCGCAATTGTTGAAAGGGTGCTGATCACAGCCGGACGTTCTTGAGTTAACTTGAGAAACAATAACACGACGAAAAAAAATATCAATAAAAATGATACAACTACGAAACACCGTCGAAGATGAAAAACCCATGATTTTTCGAGTTCTTGCTTGTTGATTAAGTCAAGCATTTTTTTTTTTTTTCATTTTTTTAGTTGGTAGAATTACAAGTATATTTATAACTAACAACCTTGGAGTTCTAAAGAGGCAATACGTGAAAGGATTTGCTAAAATTAGATTCTTTATAAATAACATCAAACAAAAATAAGACGTAATATACCAATATAGAAAAATCAATAGCAAAAAACGGAATAATAAATCATTATCATTATCATTATCATTATCATTGGCACTACCAAACCTTCGGTTCAGTCGGTTAAATAATTTGTGATCAGGATATTTTTCTTTTTATAAAAAATGGTTTCTTTCGGAAAATTTTTAGCAATATTATTATAGTAATAGACATTCAATTCATATTAACTGTTATCATTTTTTATTTGCGATGATTATCGGTTGATTTACGGATTCGCTCATAGAATGATCAAAAAAGTATCCATTATATATAGTTTTTCCTTTTTTACAAGCCCGAACTTTGACAGATCCTTCTAATATTAGATATAAAGAATCAATTAAACAAGTTTAGAGACATTGAGATTTTCATTTGTGCTTCTGAATTCGTCACGTAATAGTACAAAGACATCAAATGCTGTGCCGAGTGCCAAATTTTCAAATCGATGATGTTCTAATATTATAAAAACGCATGACTCAATCACTTATATATCAATATATTCAAATTAGCCAATCGTATTATCATCATAGGTCTACCAACCGTTTCCCAACACCGCTACACCGAAAAGGATATTTCTAATGCATTCTATCAGCTTAGCATAATATTCCTTTGTTTTTCTCCATAACCATGTCAAAAAAATTGTAATTTTGGTTTTCTTATCCAGTGATTTTTAATGTCTGCGCACAAAAATGTAGATAATAATGGTAATTGATAATGATGATAAAATTAACCTCTGTGGCTGTGGGAAAAAAGAAAGCAGGTTTTTATAGATCAGTAATGGTAATAAATGAGGTCGTACAAATGCATATATAGAAAAATTGTATTTCTATTTAATAACCAATAAAGACAAGTCATTCATTACTTTTCAAAAATAAAATACCATCTTCTGTTTCTACACATTATTGATTTTCACAACCTGCAATATTTATTCAATAAAAAAAAAAGTGTGGCGCATCGAAAAATAAAATTACGTAGATAGGTTTGAAAAACATGTTTTTTCCTATTCGTTCATTCACTCACTCACTCACTCACTCGGAAATTATTAAGAAATAAAACACCTTGCAGATTTTGGAAGGAAGTCATGACATGGCAAATAAACAAATTTCTTCGTGTTAATTAATAATTAATTAATTAGACACGTATGAAATTCTGTCATTTCTAATACGTGTTAATTATTCATTTATTTAAATTTTAAAATGTAATTTGTGGTTACGGAAAAAAAATAGACAGTTTTCACAGATAAAAAATCACCTATATAAATGAAATATATACACGCCCTCCTCCCCCTCATCCCTTCTCTCCTCTTCTCTGCAAGTTTATAGAAATCAAACCTTTGCCGCCAGAATAGGCAAAAACTGCGTATTTGACGAGTATTGGAACATAAATAAAATTCACGTTAACTAAATAATAAATAAAATAAGACTTATGACAAAATTATTCTGGAACTGATAAATAATTAATATTAATATTAAAATCACTTGAATAAAACTTATAATAAATCATTATTGAATGGGTTTTAGTTATAAATACAAGTCCATAAAATTTTAAGCATTAAATTTTATTTTTTGAAACATAAAATCAATTTTTCTAATTCTAATATGAACCAAAAAAAACATGTTCATGCCTTTCTAAACTGATTTTGATTAATATGAAAAATATTGCTGCAGAACATAACTAAAACTTTTATGTCACATTACTAACTTCTAATTTATCCTAATTATTTAGATTTAAATACCTCAAAAAATCCAGCATATGTCCGGTTTAAAAATCCGATTGAAAATCTAAAATCTGGTGACGAAATAGGATTTCTGCACTTTAAGGAACTTGACGAAATTGACGAAATTGACGAAATTAATAATAAAAAAACTAATTATTAAAAAAATAAATTCATGCTGTCAAAATTCTAATTCGCCAATTCTTTTCCAACTACAACAATTAGCGGTTAAATTATTCTCACTTGTTCCATATAGTGGTGGATGTGAACACATTTTTTATATTTAGTGAGACTTTATGGGAGGAATTGTCAAAATCTTCTGTAAATAATATTAATTCTTTTTATCTAAGAAAAAACTGGTCAGAAAAAGGTTAACAATAATAACAATGATCATGATAACAATTCGCGATATGGATTTAGAAAATAATTTTTTTTTGGAAGACAATGATAAAATGGATGAGGATATGAATTGGAAAATCGTAGAGATTACAATTATGATGATAATCATTCAGATTATGATCCATTAGAATGAGTTCACGAATTAATGAATGAGAATTTATTTTCGGAAATAGTAAATGAATGAGAATTTATTCTCGGAAATAGTAAATGAATGAGAATTTATTCTCGGAAATAGTAAATGAATAAGGATTCTAACGATTATCAGATGATTCTATAGATTTTGAAGAAAGTTATGCTCACTTTAATTATCTAATATTAATGCGAATTGCCATTATTATATTATTATTGTCATTACGAGCTATCAAAATTATTGGTAATCCCTTCAATCCAATGGATGTATTTTTTGAGCAATGAATAGATGACGAATTGATTTTGAAATAAATATTAATATCTGTGGATATCATTACTCCTAGAAAATTATCATATTGGAAATTTGGAAAGTTCTAACATTACCTTTGGATATTATCACAGAAATATTTGAAAATATTAACTTATTCCTTAATAAACTATTAAATAATATTTTTGCAATAAATCAAAGAAGAAAATAATGATGTATATAATAAGGACCTCATAATTTAATTATATACATAATATATAAAAGTTGTAATTTTTCTCTTCTCATCATAAATCATCTTAAAGTTGAAAACAGGTTGGAATATATAGCAAGACATTGTATTAAGCAGGGGCAGTGCATTTTCTCCCCAAATTATGTTGAATTACATTCCCAATTCCTTATACTCAATCAAAGTACTTTTTGAACATTTTATTTGAGAAAAAACAAATTTCAGGATGTTTGTGTTTTCCGAGAGAGCTTGCTCTACTCAATGCTATACATGCTTGCCCTTGGCAAATATATTCTCACCAATAGATATGGTTATATGAGGTAAGGTCAACATTGATATGCTAGTCTAATTGCAAAAGAAATTTTACCTAAAGTTAATATATTCTTCAAATCATTTGTTTGTTTGAATTATTCAAATCATTTATTTATTCGAATTATCATCATTCGTTTATTATTATTATTTGAATTAACATCATTCGTTTATTATTATTATTCAAATTGACATCATTCGTTTATCATTCAAATTGACATCATTCGTTTATCATTATTATTCGAATTATCATCATTCGTTTTTATTATTATTCGAATTGACATCATTCGTTTATCATTATTATTCGAATTGACATCATTCGTTTATCATTATTATTCGAATTGTCATCATCATTCGTTCATTATTCAAATTGTTATCATCATTTGTTTATCATTCGAATTCACATCATTCGTTTATTATTATTATTCGAATTGACATCATTCATTTATTATTATTATTTGAATTGACATCATTTGTTTATTTATTTAGTTTATTCGTTTTATTATTTGAATTGTTGTCGTTCGTTTCTTCGAACTATTTTTTTATTTGTTTTATTCATTTTATACAAACTATTCGAATTATTCAAATAGAAACTTTAATCAAGCATTTAGTTGTATCTAGTGATTTTAATTTAGTTTGCCAGATACACCCTCTGTTGGGTCTGAATCCGTGGCTGTGAGGAGAAAACGTGGGTTCGAATATGGCTTCCAGTATCAATCTCATGGCTTCTTGTACTAGCTTATCTCTCGGAGAGGCTATCCTAACCGCTCTCATGCCGCCTGACTTATTTGGTATATAGGTTATTGGACGGAATTGGAACGACTCATCTCTCAAGGCTTTTATGGTCTCGTCTATCCATTCGGCCGACAACCCGTCGAGCCTCTCGGGCGTAATCCCTGGGGTCATGTTTCTCGGTTTGCTCTGATCATAGGCCAGCAAGTAGATCTGTGGATCCATTAGAATTTGGTATATTTCTCTATCTACTACCGCGTTCGGGTTTGGTGACTAATAACTCTGATCGCATGTTTGCAATATTTATTACAACTTTAAGGTGTCAATGCCGAATTGTTGTAGTTCAGGTAAAATTTTAAATTTTTTTTAGATAAATCTAAATATAACAGTATTTAATATTAATATATTTTTTGTGATACATATTTGTGGCAAAAAAAAAAAAAATTTTTTTTTACAAATATACAAAAACCACAATGGAAAACATTTTGGATGAAAATAAACATCATGACAATACTTCTACTGATGAACATTCAAAGCAAAGACAAAAAAATTATGGGGAATGTTCAACTTGTTATAGATATAATACTTGGTATTCATGGTGTCAATCATGTGATCCAAAGTTATTAACTGAAGGATGGACTAGTGGCAATGAAACATTAGATGAGTT